GAACGACTTTCCCTAGAAAACTGTACAGTGGTGCCTCAAAGGGTACGGCAATTAAACATGTTCTTGCACAAGTTTCCTGGCTTCATCCCCACCCGGACAGACATTTTTATGGAAAGCCAATAGAAGTTTGGGGCTTGCAGGGAACAGATACGTCATACCCAGCATAATTTCTGCCGGTTGAGCGCATTGCTAGAAGATGTGTAGTTAATACATCCTCTGTGCATTTAAGTAAGACCAAAGAAAAGGTCACTGTAGTCCTGCCACTATGCACATGTAGTGGAGCTCTAGGAGACTGTGATCTCTGCAGACCCCTCATGCTGATTCAAATGTTGTTTGCATGGAATGCTCATTTTACCTTGATTAAAACTCTACTAATGGCGTATACAGTAATCTAGCATATTTGAATTAAATAAATCAATTCAAGCTAAAATGTAAGAGCCTATAATTAGGCTACTGAGCCTATTTGTACCAGAGATTTTCTTACCTTTTAAAAAAATGTCACCTTGGCTAAAACTCCCTCTGCGACCCTGATTTGCATTTGTATAGCTCACAGCATTTTCATTTACATGTCAAAGCCTCCCCTAGAATTAGGAGGGGGGTCATGGGGGGACAACTGCCAAGGGAGGCCCACGTCAATTTCTGACAATTTACGGCAGTTTTCGGTGTTGCCCGCAAATTGCTGTGAACAGCCGTAAACCTGAAATTCCACGACAATTTACAGTGCCGCATACTGACGAAAATCCCACTTTTCATGCAGTGACGTGCGTTACAAAAACCTACGTCAGTCGGACCTACCAGAGGTAGTCTTGGAGTTTCTCAAGAAGGGTTGCTGTGCAGGGGATGGTCGGTCTTTTCGCGTCCGTGGTCTCTGGACACCTGTTCGTGTGTTAAAACGACAGAGTTAGTTGCTTTCCCTGTAATTCTGTACATTTTAGCGGAGGGAGAAAAACAAACATCAGGCAGCTGTGTGCATACCCAGTCGTCTAGCAGCAGCGCCCGTTTCGTCATTAGACCTAATTCTTTAGCCTGATGTTCGGGATGCAGAGCCAACGACACATGCGGCACTGCATCTTTATTCATCAAATACATTTTGATTGATCGGGGGAGAGGATGACAGCTGAGGCTACCCCTTCCATGCCCACATCGAGGTTTTGGGACGTCACCTCCCACTCTGTGTTTTCTAAATGTTTCATGAATTCGTCACAATAGCACTCATCCCCTTGTCTGTCATAAAACACTGTTACATGAGGAGGATCTGGAGGAGGAACATACGGATCAAGTAGAGTTATCCAAGGCTTCCACTTTTGGTAAAGAGTCATAACCCCTGGGACTTCAGGACACTCAGGCTTCAAGAGGCCCCAATAAATGTCTGCATATTGTTGTTGCTGCAGTGGCTGCACCACCCACTGACCACTCGTTTGTCCATTGTCATTGCAATGCAGAACCGCTTAGTCCATCCGGGCTGCACAAGTTCGAAGCCCCCGTTTTAATGAGAAGATCCCTTCCCATAAGATTCACTGGAACTTGAGGCGAAACAACAAAAGAATGAGTCAATGTCTGATTTCCCACTTTCATCAGTAGGTGGACTGTTAGAGGCAGTTTCTGTGACACCCCGGAGAACCCCACAACGCTGACGCTATCTCTGGACATAGCTGGACATACAGGCAGACGAGCCCGCTGCCTGTATGGTGGAGTATGTGGCCCCAGTGTCAACGAGAAACGGCAGTTGTTGTTGTAGTACCACGAGTGACAGCACGGGGTCCGCCCTGCCTCTGCTGTCCGGGTCTCTCCCGGGGGTGTGTCACTGAGAGGCATCTGCCTCATAGCCCCAGTCCTCCAGTGTGGGGTACTGTCCTCCAGGGGGCGGTGCAGCATGTGCGTTGGGAGCCCATGCTTCCTGGAGTGGGACACCTCTACCCCTCCCCTGTCTTCCTTTCCTAGGACACTCCTTAACCTGGTGCCCCTCCATAACAGTGGAAACAACCTCTTCCCCATCTGCGTCCGCCTCTTTCTCCTCCCCCTGCATATGGACCTCCTCAACACGCTCCTCCACAGCAGTTACCTCCATAGCCTCCCCTGTAACCACCCCCTTGGTTTAAACCCCACCCTCAGGCTGTCCCATACGACGTCTCCTCCCATGGTGGGAGTGGCAGCCTGTGCAACCATCTGTCGCTCGTCTTTCCCTCTCTGCTTCTTGTCACTCACTTCCTGTCTTACTTTGGTGAGCTGGAGCTTCAGCAGTTAAGCCTGCAGCTCCTTTAACTGTTTATCTTCCCCTGTCGCTTCTTCTGTCGCGTCTTGTAAATGGTGTAGCAAATGTCTCTCCCACACAGCAGAGTCACTACCTGGCAGGTCTGTGATCATTTTAGCTTTAACACTCTCTGGTACGCCCTCCAGTACCGCCTGTCTAAACCATTCCCTTTGCACTCCCGCAGTGCCTGGGTGATGACCTGTGTGTTTCACCCATGTTTCCTTACATTCGCGCTGCAAAAAAATTTGCTGTACTGAATTAGTTTTCATGTTTATTTCTATTTGTTCTAATAATCTTTATCTAAAATTTTCATCATTTGATCTACAATCCGCTTGTTCATGTAAAAGTTTTTGGCAGACCTTTGACAGCCCAGTAATGATGGGCTTATTCTTCTAAACTGAAAAGCAAAAGGACCATTTATCCTCTTTATTCTTTATATATCATGGTATTCAAGAAAGATGCATGAACTTAATTATATCACTAAGAAATAATGGCACTCAGGATTAACTTCATTCAACAGTGTGTGTGTGCTTCTTAAAGTGAGAAGGTATAAAACCTCTGTCCAGTCTTATTGGCCTCCACCGTTGCTCCCACACATCTTCTCACTGCTGTGACCTTTTTACATAAAACCCTCACTGCTTCAACAGAGATTTATTACGCTTATTCTAGCCGTTGTTGCTTTAAAGACTTTAAATCTTCTTTTTCTTTCTTCAATGCATGTCCACAATTCTACTATTTTTAAATAAAAAGTGTAGTAATAGCTTGGAGAGCTTAAAAATGGCTCTGCAGTTGCAGGCTTTGATTGAGAATCCGTCTCTCCCTCCATTTCAAATTCACTTACTGCAAGTCACTTTGGATTAGAGCCTCAGCTGAATGAAAAATGCGATGCATTGATGTAAAGAATGCCTCTGCATATCTTCATCTGCCCATAGAGTATTTACCCATTGTTTAAAAAAAATTGCCTTTCTCAAACGGCCTTGTTACCAACCGATTTGATGAGCAATTCATTTATAAAAATTGAAATCTCCGACATAACTGATTGTTGACCCCCATAGTCAAATCAGGAAAAATTAACACCAATATTGCCTTAATGTCCCCGTTCAATGATCTCTTTGAGTTTTTGCTCGTAGGTCTCACCCTCATGGGGTTGTATGACTGTTCCATGTCTTCATCAACTAATTGACCAACCAAGTTCCCTTTGTTCATTCTAACCTCGAAGTAATAGATCTGCTCATACCAAGTTTACACAAAAATATTACCTCACATTCTCGCCCTTACCGTCAATTACTCCTCCTTTTGCCTTCAGTCTGTTTGCTCTCTCATGATGTGTGATCACCTTTTTCTAAAAAAAACCTGTGCATTACTGCATAATTCTTCAACCTCTTTTTCCATCTCTACACTTCCACTTGCCCTTGGTCATACTTTCAAACACCTGCGTGTGTCTCTCATAACATTTCAACTTTCTTTTCCCGTTTTGCTTACTTCCCCATTCCTTTCCCATCAAAATAAACCATCCGATGGCCTCACTGAAGGCCTCCATCATTACAGTCAATTTGCTGACCTTTGTAACTACTTTCACAAGTGGACGAGCATTTGCATTATCAGTCACTAAACCCTACAGCTTCAAACAATGTATCAGAATTTGAACCTCAAACCCCAGTGATATAAACAAAAAGTTCTCCAAACACTTGTGGGTCATAAAACAACAATGAATATTGTGAGTCCCTGGATCCCAAAAAGTACCAGCAGATAATAAATCAACTTAGCATCGGACCCATCTGTTCCAGACCCCCACTTCAGTGTTAATCTGCACTTTTACTGCTCTTCAGCCCAAAAGCAAAGCGGAGGGTGGGAGACATGTCTGTAACTTGCAGATACAAACTCAGCTCATGCTTAGTTTGATCCAATCCATTTATTCATCACTGATAGATCACCAACCTCTCATGGTTAGCGTATCCAAACGTAAAGGTGTACTACTTGTTGACGTTTACAGGATGACCGTCTAACAAGTTTCCATATTTATGTACTGGTGCTATCAATGTTCCTTTGATCAGACATTTGCTTCCATCATCAAGATACTGCATCGTGTACTATACACTCAATAAGCAGCACTCAACAATCTACAGCTTATCTCTGAGTTTAGGAAAAAAAACTACAAACATTAATACAAAAAACGGACACTATATACAACAATTCTCCTTATTTCTCATCTCTTAATTTTCAATGACTGTTTCCCCTCTTTTTAGTAAATCAATCTTTCCTACAGTTTTAAGTCTAATTTCAGCTGACACTCTCAGCAGTCTATAATCTCTAGTCTCCCTTCTCCCACAATATGTACGTCAGTGACACTCTGTCTGCCAAACTAACGCCTTTCTCCTCTAACAACTTTCTCACAACGCGTCCCGTGTGCTCCACAATATCATGTTTCTTTTTCTCAGTGGTATCTCCGCTCACCGCCACAAACAACAGCCTCAGTTGGTAATTTATTATTTTCCATCAATACCTCGGCACTGGCTCCCAGCCGCCGTCCTTTGGGGCGTGATTTGTAGGGGGGGGCGTGCACTGTTTAAGCATAAATACGTCATTTTGACGATGACGTGCGGGGTTTTGATTGGAAATTCACCATTTCAGGGTGTGTTTTATGCGATGGGCGTTAGTTTTGACCGGAAACACGTCACTGTAGGAGGGGTTTCATCATATATATATAGATGTGTTTTTTGGCTCCGCGATCGAACCTTCCTTTTGGACTCATCCACGGTGGTTTACGCTCCGGGATTCTCAGCAGAGGCCTAGCCCAGTGTGGTCCCGGTGTCTTCTTCTTCTTCTCTTCAAAGGTATGAGACATCAGTGAGACACTGATGCTTCTCTTTAGATTCACCATTAACATCTTAATGCATGAATTAGGGGGCTATCTTCTTAGCCATCAGGACACAATTTGTAACCTAACAGAGGAAAGTCCTGAGGGTCACAAAGCCTCAGGAAAACAGCCATCTTAAGTTTTTAACGAGGAACACATGTGTCGACCTAGCACAGCATATTGTGACTCAGCACCCCAACGGTGCCAACCACTAAAGGGCGCTAGAATGGCCCCCTGAGACCCCAGGGATGGAGAAAAACAGTGGGGGGGAGGGGGGGGGTGAAAAACAGGATCCTTAGGTGGCAATGATGTTGCATTCGGGGGTATGGGTCTCCTATATAGATACAGCCACGGTTCACTTCTTGACACCTTGGCAGACTGGTGCATCCTCACATTTAAGACATTTCCATTGAGAGCCAGATGTACTACAAGGGGGGAGCAATGGACCAGATATATATATATATATATGTATATAGTGTTTCAGTAAAAGGCTATTCATTAAAAAGGTTCTCAACTCTTTACACACACACATACACACTGGTATAAATTTTAAAAAAGCTTTAAAGATTGTACTATGTCGAGTGATACATATTTGTTTTTATATATTTTTATATATTTTGAATAGGTATTTACACCTTTTAGAAATAGATGACAGCTCGACGCCTATACATGTGCGTCTTGAAAAACTGAAAAAGGAGATTGATGCACTCAGTTGTCTACCACCATCGACTACGTGCACCAACCAGGGAGCTGCCACAGGTAGGGAGAAATGGCAGTATGATATAAGATTTCTATATATTTATTATTTGACGAATCATTCATGGTGATTTTATAATTACGTTGAAAGAATCGACATCTCGGAAAAAAACGACTGATCGTCGTTATCAAACGGGGGTTGCAGGTAACTGGAACAATATCAAATATTTTTATTGATTATTGTTGTTGAGCTTTTTTTAATTTAAAAAAAAATAATAGACCTGTATGCCCCTCCAGGGAAAAAAAAAAGTACATACGGTTGACCAGTCTGAGAGACCTTCTACAAGGTATGTGACATCATCCATATATATATATATATATATATATATAGACAATTATTTTATAACATATTTTGTCCATGTATGCTTGTACAGCAGGGAGCAGCTTGACCTGTCTACACCAACAAAGGACACATGGAACTATCCAGGATGCTTGACTGACGAGGAAATGCTGCAGGGGATCTGTGACTATGAAGAAGAGAGTACTACAGTAGAAGCAACATCGAAAGAGTGTGTAACCCCATTTCAACAAAACAGAGCAGGTATACCCACAGAACCCACGGTTGTGATTGTGCACCCGAGGGACACCGCTAACACCTTATATGTAGAGTTGATAAATGAAATCAGTGAACTGCGTCGTTCCAACACCGCATTAAAAGAGATAGTAACCGATCTATGTAAGAAACAAGAGGAGGCTAGACAAACATAGGACACCAACGTCAGCTCCATAAAACAATACCTGATAGCTCAGAATGCATCCAGTGAAGCTATCATAGCTCTACTTACAAATACATTTTATCCAAGGTAATCTACTAGGGATGGTGTCTATAAGGGGTGGTGTCTAAATGAACAATACAGACGTGTAGTATGCCTCCCCCCAGAAAGTTTTGAAGAGGGGCACGGGTGATATACAACGATCAGGGGATAACCATAATAATAATAATATAAATAATGATGATGGGTATAGGGTCCTGTTACAGAATACAGAGGAACACCTTAAAAGCCTACAAGCACTGGTGAAGAGATCACACGTTGTAGCTGCTGCTGCTGCATACCCTGCAGAAGCCTTTCATGATGTTGACCGAATTCATTATACAGAACAACATTCATCGTATCTAGATAGTGGGTATGCAGACTTGGTCAGTGTCCTAGACCCTGGGTTTAATACCTCCGGCGCAAATAGCCATGTGTTGGATCATGCCGACGGACCACTTGTGTACACAAACAATGATGCAGGGGCTGTGGGGTGTGTGTCGGCAGAAATATGTGACGACCGGCTGAATCAGATGGGGACAAATGGAGATGTGGAGCATGAACAGGCTGTTGGGGGGCCTGCTACGTGTCAAGCGGGAGGGTCAGGGGAGCAGGCCCGAACAGAAGGGTGGCATGTTGATACACTAACAGGCGGAGGGGAGATAATGAGGGGGGGTGAGACCTCCTCAGGCATAGAGGGAAGGACAGTCACCAGGAGAGAGATGCCTTCATTCAATGCATTTGAGCTTAGACAAAGGGTTGATTTCAGAAACGTGGATCTTACTGACCTCGAGCAAATCCCCTACATAGTCAGAGAAAGAGTGGCGGGTGTAATTGATAGAGCTGTAGAGGCCTCTCCGGCTGGTAGTGTGCTGAACGTTTTGTTTCGGGGGCCTTCATTGGCTAGTGATATACAAGCTGTTCTACGTGTAAACGAGTTGTACAACGCTGACTTGTTTATGGAGCAAATTGCACAAGTAATACAGAGCAATGATGAGTCTATAACGGATGATGAATTGGAATTAGTGATCACCGTAGCTAAAAATAGAAACGGGGGGGTCTACCTAAAATTAGCAAATGTACCCTATGATGAGATATTATCAAAGAAGTGTCGGTTTCTACACACCCCAGACAATACTGATAATAACCTGTGCTTTTCGCTCTGTTTAGCACATTTAAATCATCCAGACATGTCCCTGCAAGCTAAAGTGAGATTTGCAACTCAACTGTTGGTCTGTGGTCTGTTGGATAGGAAGTCCAGTATCCAGTTACAGAGGAAAGTGTTGATACCCAGGTGACTGAGTTTCGTGATTAGTTTGGAGGGGATGACAGTGTTGAAAGCTGAACTGAAGTCTATGAACAGCATCCTCACATAGCTGTTGTTATTGTCCAGGTGAGAAAGGGCGGAGTGTAATGCCGTGGAGATGGCATACTCCTGTTCTTGCGGTAGGCGAATTGGAAGGGGTCCAGTGTGGGTGGTAAGCAGGTTTTGAGGTGAGCCAGGACCAGCCTCTCGAAGCACTTCATGATGGTTGGAGTGAGTGCAACTGGGCGGAAGTCGTTTAGGCTCACTGCGGTGGAGTGCTTTGGCACTGGCACGATAGAGGTGGTTTTAAAGCACGTGGGGACAGTAGCTTGGGCTAGTGACAGGTTGAATATGTCAGTCAGGCCCTCAGCTAGCTGCCCAGCACAGGCCCTGAACACGCGTCCGGGGACGCCATCAGGGCCAGCAGCCTTACGTGCATTAATCCTGCTCAGTGCAGCACACACGTCGGTGGAGGAGAGTGTGAGGGGCCGGTGGTCTGAAGTGAGCACAGCCTTGATGGCGGCCTCCTGGTTGTCCCTGTCAAAGCGTGCATAAAAGCTGTTACGCTCGTCAGGGAAGGAGGCATCATTGTTTTGGGGGGTGGTGTTGGTGGGTTTGTAGTCTGTTATGGCCTGGATACGTTAGCACATGCGACGAGGGTTGGAGTCGTTCTTGAAGTGCTCCTCAATCCTTAGCTTGTGGCAGTGCTTGGCCTGCTTGATGCCCCTCTTCAGGTCAGCCCTGGATGAACTGTAGGCTTGAGCATTACCTGATCTGAAAGCGGTGTCTCATGCCTTCAGCAGTAGGCGGACCTCTTTGTTCATCCATGGCTTCTGGTTGGGGAAGGTGGTGATTCGTTTAAGTGTAGTGACACTGTCGATGTTGGTGTTGATGAAGTCCAGAACGGAAGAGGCATAGGAGTCAATGTCCGTGTGGGAGTCCAGTGTGGACTGAGTGGCAAACACACTCCAGTCCGTGTGTTCGAACAGAAGCTGTAGTGCAGAGTCTGCTCCCTCTGGCCACACTTTAACTTCAACTTTTGTGTAGTCAAGTTCTGTTCTTATAAAACTATACAATCACTGTCTTGAGTAGTTTGTGTGAGTGTAATGAAGGATTAAAAGAAGGTCCACAATTTCCTTTGTGTCCGTTATATTTTACAGAAGTTAACAGCTCCAGCACGACAAACATAGAAAGCAGAAGGCATCTCACAGGGGTTACATTTGCAGGCAAAATCCACGGGCGCTGTTGTCGAAAGCTGAAGTCTGATTGCTGTAGTCTGCCTCCAACACACGTCAATACATCTTCATCCAGCAAAAGCCTTAACTCTCTGATCTTTTGATTGACTTGATCCTACTGCCTCATTTTCTTCAGTGGCGAGTTTTTTTTTTTTTTTTTTTTTTGAAGCATTTTATTTCTTGAACATGTAGACATTAAAAATAAAAAATTTAAAAATCAACATAGACATTGACCACAAAATTAGAAAAGTCACCTTTTGTTCAAGAAAAGGAGTAGAGGGAAGCAAAAGCTTATAGATACCCACCCCTATCTTATCCATATTCTCAATTAGTATATATTACTTTGAAGATTGATGTCATACATACATACACACACTCTCTCACACACACTCTCTCACCCACACACACGCACGCATACTCACACGCACAAATAAATACAATTTAAATTTCAGTCACTGAATATTTTCACAGATCTCATATTTGGCTAATGTGTATAATTTAAGATGTTTTTTGAACTGTGCAATATGTTTACAATCTTTGATCTTATCTGGTAAGTTGTTCCACAACTTCACCCCACAGACCAATATGCACCTGCTTTTGAGTGTAGAGTGCACCTTTGGTTGCCTCAGTTTCAGTCTCCCTCTTAAATTATAGTCTCCAAGTCTGTCGCTAAACCAACTTTGAATGTTTCCTGAGAGTAGACTGTTTCTTGCTTTAAATACAATCTGTAACGTTTTAAAATCTTTTAAGTCCATAAATTTTAATATATTTAATTTCAGAAATAATGTGTTTGTGTGTTCATAGTACCCCACCTTATTAACTATCCGTATTGCTTTTTTTAAAATTGTGCATATTGCCTGTAGGGTGCTTTTGTAGGTATTACCCCACACTTCCACACAGTAACTCAAATAGGGGGCAAACAGTGTACAGTACAGTGTATGCAGTGATTGTATATTCAATATATGTCTGACTCTGACTAGTATCCCTGCACATCGTGCCAATTTTGAGTGTACACGAGTGACCTGTGGCCTCCAGCTGAGCTTGTGGTCTATCATTACACCTAGAAAGGAGTATTCAAACACCCTTTCGATTTTTATATTATCGATCTTTAGTTCAATGTGTGTGTTTACTTGTGTGTTACTTTTACCAAAGACCATAAATTTGGTTTTCTTTCCATTAAGTGATAATCTATTTATATCAAACCACAATTTCAGCTTGGTTAACTCAGTCGAGACCGCCTCCAACAACTGTTCGAGGTTCCCTCCTTCACAGAATACATTTGTGTCATCTGAAAAAATAACATTTTTCAGGATCCTGGAAGCATTACTTATGTCATTTATATAAATAATAAATAGTTTTAGACCCAGTATTGATCCTTGCGGCACACCACAGGTAATATTTCTTAAGGTGGACTTCTTATCCCCTATCTGTACAAACTGTTTTCTTTGTCCTATGTAACTTTGTACCCAATTTAGTCCAACCCCTCTGATCCCATAGCTTTCCAGTTTGTGTAGCAGTATATCATGGTTTATTGTGTCAAATGCCTTCTTCAGATCTATGAAGACCCCTATTGCCATCTTTTTGTTATCTATTGTGCTTGTCAGTTCTTCTACTAAGTCCATGAGTGCCAATGATGTTGATCGGTTTGGCCTAAAACCATATTGACTATCTATGAGTAATCCATGTTTATCTATGAAACTGTCCATCCTTGTAGCAAATATTTTTTCCAAAATTTTGGAAAATTGGGAAAGCAGGGAGACTGGTCTGTAGTTATTGTAAAGTTTTTTTTCACCTTCTTTGAAAATCGGAATTACCTTAGCAGTTTTCATTTTGGTTGGAAAGAAGCCCGTTTGAAGTGAAACATTACAGATATGTGCTAGGGGATCTGCTATATTAATAATGACTTCTTTTACAATTGTCATATCAATACCATTCCAGTCTCTTGATGTTTTTTTTTTGAAGTTATTAACTATGGCAACAATTTCATTTTTATCGGTGTCCTTCAGAAAGATAGTATCTGGGTTCCTCTTGCCCAAATAATGTGCTACACATCCCCCTTGCGGAAGGTTTATCTGCTCTTCTAGTTTAGGGCCCACATTTACAAAGAATTTATTGAAGCCTTCTACCATCTCCTTTTTGTAATTAATAATCTTATCATTATCTAGAATTTCTTCTGGCAATCCAGAGCTGGTCGATTGATTTCTTATAATTGAATTTAAGATCTTCCATGTTTCCTTTATATTATTTTTATTTTTATCTAGTAGTTTAAAATAATAATCCTTTTTACAATTTCGCATAATATCAGTTAATTTATTTTTATATCTTTTATACTTCATTTCTTTCTCCTTATTTCTATTCTTGATAAACTCTTTATATAAGAAGTTCTTCTTTTTACAGGCGTTCAACAGACCCTTTGTAAGCCAAGGTTTATCTGAGCGATTTGCTCGTTTTCTTCTTTGCTGAATTGGACAGCATCTGTCATATAACATCAGAAAAGTTTGCAGGAAGGAATCATAAGCATAATCAACCTCCTCTACCTCATAAACCTTTCTCCAGTTTTGTGCACTTAAATCATTTCTGAACTTGTTTAGATTGTCAACCGTTCTTAATCTCCTTTCTATCGTTTCATTCCTTTCAGCCAACCTAGGTGCACCGCTGTAGATTGCAAACACCGGCAGATGGTCACTAATATCATTTAATAATAATCCACTTTCCATATTATCTATTAGGTTATTAGTAAAAATATTATCTATAAGTGTTGCAGAGTGAAATGTAATTCGACTAGGTTTAGTAATAGTAGGATACAAGCTTCTGCTTTACATTGCATCCATGAATTTCTCTATTGGTTTTAGTTTGTTAGGATTCAGAAGATCGATGTTGTAATCGCCACAGAGAAAAGTTACCTTTTGCTCGGTGTTTGTAGCCATACTCTCCATCACCTCCTTGAACTTCTCTATGCTATTGTTGGGAGCCCGGTATGCACAGCTGACAATGATGTTCTTCCTTTTCCCCATATCTATTTCAATAGTAATACATTCACATATATCATCAATTGCAGCCGTCATACTTTCAACAATCTTGTACTTAAGTCTTCTATCAACATAAAGTGCAACTCCCCCTCCCCTTTTGTTGCCTCTGTTTACATAATTCAGATTATAACCATCCAACTCAAATTCCACCCCTTTCTCCAGGCTAATCCAGGTCTCCGAGATTGCGATTACACTGAACGGTGAGGTGAACTGGTCTAGGTAGTCTTTAATCTTGTAAAAATTAGCGTAAAGGCTTCTACTATTGAAGTGTATTATCTTTATATTGTGTTCTGACCCAAACTTTTCGTTGAACTGATTTTCCGTGTAGTAGTCACAATTTCTCCCATTGTTGAAGTACTTACTCTCTGGATCTGTGTCTGAATCTAAGTCAAGCATAGTGTCAGTTGAAGTCTTGCACCATTGTTTACTGTAACCTCCCAAATGTCATATGAACACTCCCCCAGTATTCTCAGTTGTATTCTTCCACACCCTTTTCTTGCCACATCTAGTATCACTAATATGTCATATGGACACTCACCCTCAGTCACACACCCTGTCATCCATCCTTTCACACGGTCACTCTTACACCAAAACCACAACTCACGCCTACGAGCCTCACAGTCTGGTTTGTCCCCATAACCACAGAAAGGTTTGTGCGAAAAAAGCAGCAATGATACGGAGACCTTAGGAAAATGCAACACCAGATAGAAATCCACTGCAGGGGAAAACATCTCCACGCGAAC